CTGTTAACATTATAGATTTAGTGTCAGTGGTAGGTAATAACAATAAACAAATTTTATTACTCACCTACTGTACTATTTAGTGCAGTAGGTGAGTAGTAATGATTTGTTTATTGTTATAAAATAGTGCAGTAGGTGAGTAGTAAAATGTGTTTATTGTTATTACCACTACCACTGACACTAATCTATAATGTTAAGAGGGTCGGAATGGCTAAAAATAAACAGTATAAACAATAATAATAATAATAATAATAATAATAATAATAATAATAATAATAATAATAATAATAATAATAATAATAATAATAATAATAATAATAATAATAATAATAATAATAGTAGTAGTGTAGGTTCATATAGCGCACATATCCATCTAATGTAAGATGCTCAAGGCGCTATGACTAGGAACTCGATCAATGATATATACAAAGGTGTATTTCACAAGTGGTGATATTTTAAATAGTATCAATTAATGTTGGCGCTATAAAATAATGAATCCACAACAATCATTCAGTTTGACTCCTTTATTCGTTATATAGATACATACACTTATGATAATTGTCTTAGGGTAACGATACAAAAATAAAACTAAATATATAGTAGTAGGGCCTAGTAGTAGAGTAGTAGTAGTAAACCCCTCACCCCCCCCCCTTCCTTTGGAACACCCCTATTCCTATAAAGAGGACTCTTTTTCGGCCATAAAATGAAGATAGGTACGACCAACAGCTAATCAGGCGGCACCACTATTAAAGGGACATTTTTATATAAAGTATTTTAAATATTAAATGAAAATATATTATTTCCATTGTATTGGACCAAATTGAATCTCAATCTGAATCTCAATCTAACACATTTTAGGTCCCTGTGTCCCCTTCATAGGAATTCTACTGCATGCGTGTGATTGCGATAGCCTTGAATAATACAATGCCCACGGTAGTACTTCCTGGTAGTATTATGTAAACCTCTTACTGTACATCATATATTTAGCATCGCTTGAAATATCAATTTCGATCACCTCTTACCAAGTTAACTGTTTTTACTAGGCATTAATCGTTTATGTTATTGAAACCTGTTGATTGAATTGTATGCTTTTTGTTTTTTCTTCGATTTTGATGTTCCAATAAAGAATTAAATTGAATTGAATTTCACAGTGGAATTATCTACCACTAGAATCAATTTCTATTAGTTTCAATCTCTATTACATTGCCAAATATTTTTAGCATTCACCAAGTTAAAGTGAATGCTAAAAATACGTTTCATAAATAGGTTTAGTGCTTACATCACATAAAGAAGATTCGGCAGAACAAATAATTTGTTCTTAGCAATAAGTCTATTCTGCCCGAAGTAAATGTATGGTGATGACATTTTTTTTTACATAGGACTACTGTTATTTTTATAACACGTAAACATAAAGAACGCACAAGTCCGACACGTAATACAATTATTCGACAAAATATAAGATTTAGTAATTCGTCATCTAGATGTGATCGTATTCCCAAAGGCAACGTTACACATTCACAGTAATGTACCTTAATAGGCGTGTTTTGAATTTACTCATTTTAGGGCGTTGTTGTACTTTGATGCTGAAACTAGTCTATTATATTAATATACCGTAAAACCTCGAATAGAAGCCTTTTTTTTTATTTTGCGAACTTTCATGAGCTTCTTTTCGAGTCTACTTTTGCAAAGTAAAGAGGTGTGGGGCTTCTTTCCAAAATAAATGCTGTAAATGTTGGGATTTACTACTATAAAACAAGAAATAGGGCCAATATAACATCAATTTGTATCATGGAGTGTATTAACCGGCATAAAATCACCTAAACTACTGTTTAAAGACAGGCGTGTTTTCAATTTATTTTGTTTATTTGAAGTTCATGTACAATTTATGTAATGTACTACTAAATATCTCGAAAAGAAGCTTATGACAGTATCTTGAAAAGAAGCTCATGGGCATCTTTTCGAGGTTTTGCGAGCTAAAGAGGGAGCTTGAATTCGAGATGGGCTTCTTCTTGAGATTAAGCCCATTGGGCTTCTATTCAAGGTTTTACGGTACTACCTATTGTGGACATTTTAGTGTTTGTGTATATGTTAATCTATTTCCAAGATGACCAATTTTAGATGCCACGTTTAATCATAGAGAAAATATTTTCTATTTTCTCTATGGTTTAATACTCATAAATTATTAAGAAATCTAACGGTACACGTAATTGACCTTTCCGAAACCCCGCCCCTTGGCTATTGTCGCGAAGGTCCCACAGATTGATAGTACGTCAACACAGATTGATAGTACGTCAACACGTGTGTTTTTTGGACACACGTGTGTTTGTGGGATAAGCGCGTAATCTTCACGATGTTCTGATTGGTCAGTTATTTGAATGAGACTCCGGAAAGGTTCATTGACGTTAAGTAATATGGCAACGTAAGTACAGTCATGGAGGGGTACAGTATTGCGTATTTCCTTAATACCTTTCCTTAAATAGTAATTCAAACGATATCAAATCATGAGCAAATTAATTTCAAAATATTTTATTCATTCAGGATAATACATTTTTAACGTTCAAAATTTATATTGAAGTTTATAATCAGGCTAATGCAAGACGGTTTAGTGTGTTTATCTCTTTAGTGTACCATGTTTTATTTACAAAATCGGTCTTTTTAAAAACCTCGTCTTGTTTAAAATTCTTACGATCAGAGGGTATCATATTGATCTCATTATATCGAAAACTAGCGCTGTTCCCCCACATGTTCAAAAGACAGATGCATTCAATCGGGCTCGAATTTTTTTCGTATTTTCCTATGGATCTATAAGCCTACTATTTCTATTTTGTATCACATCATCAGTTATAATAATGCAATTTTCCATTAGCAATGGTGCTAAATGGGATAAAATTGAAATGACGCTAATATTGACTAATTGTTGGTATTCAAGGTAACCTTGTATTCTGACAAAAGCAATACGGAAGCGATGATTATTTATTTTAATGCAAAACATGAACTATTTTTTCTACCTTTTTACACTGATATAAGCTTAAACCTAACTGAAAGTTGTTTTAACCTAGGAAAATAGTAGAAGTGTAAGAAATGCCTTGCACGGCAAGTCACATTGGGAAATGCCACGGGAAGTTCTTCCTTACAAATTCAGTTCAAATTTTGTAACACGCGCAGATTGGTTAATTTTGACAACCTCACGGGAATAAATTCAAGGCAGCTATGTTTTGGCTCTAGTTATCGTCTGATTACTCAACATTACTTACGTAGGAGTACGTTCTCGCAGTCGAAACACTGATTAATAACCGATGGTAATAACGATAAATATTACTTGAAATTTATACTAATAGTCACAAGTTGTGTTATTTGAACTATATAAGTAAAACATTTTAGTCCTCAACCTGTCTCTTATACACATCTAGATGTGTATAAGAGACAGATATATATCTTATATCATGATTTAATTATAAAACATATTTGTTCGGAAATCTTATCTTGTCGTCAAAGGCGTATTGACCTCTGTTATTTGCTATGCTTCAGGGACTAGTGATGTCCAACTATGATGAGTGTCAAGAATTAGATGCTTTAATCAGATTTGAATTCCCAACAAAACTCAGTACCCTATAGTTGGTTTAGGCGTCTGCATAGACAGAAGAAGGTCCGCGTTCGATTCCCGGTTTGGGACCTATTTTTTCGCAGATTCCTCTTTCAAAAATTATTTATATCATTACTCCAACACGGTTAAGAGTTTCTATTATATATTATTTATAAGTTTGTATTTTCATAATAATTCTATAATGTTTCTCATGAGAAATAATATAGCAGAATGCGCAGGAAGACACCTGTCTCTTATACACATCTAGATGTGTATAAGAGACAGGTTTATCTCCAAAACTCAGTATCCTATAGTTGGTTTAGGCGTCTGCATAGACAGAAGAAGGTCCGCGTTCGATTCCCGGTTTGGGACCTATTTTTTCGCAGATTCCTCTTTCAAAAATTATTTATATCATTACTCCAACACGGTTAAGAGTTTCTATTATATATTATTTATAAGTTTGTATTTTCATAATAATTCTATAATGTTTCTCATGAGAAATAATATAGCAGAATGCGCAGGAAGACACTGCACCAGTATTACCCGAATTAATCAATAATGAAAACATGGCTTATCCTCAATCAATGTGTATTTGTAATTCTTTCATTTATATTATTTAGCCATCATAATAACAAAAAACAGAAATTTCAGATAAAATGATAATCTTCCAAAAACGCGTACATTTGCAAAAGTATATAAAAATATATTGTGTTTCATTCATCCATTGGCCTACGTAACAGCAATAAAGATACAAAGGATAGTAACAGAATAATAACAGATAGGATTAAAGATCCATAAAAATATAATTCATTTAAACTACACACTTTTGCAAACGATAAACTGTATGCATGGTAATATGCCTGTGTTGAGAAAAGCAAATGTTTTGCAACAAACATGAATTATGTGAGAGTAAACTTTAATCCCGTATTGATGGTCATATAAAGACATAATCATGTTCATGTTCATGTTAGGCTACATTGTAAGAAAGAATTACCTTAACATTTTCATGTCTTACACTAAATGCATTACTGTAATTCTTAGTTAATATTGTTAAAAGTCAATAATGATAGTATATTAGCCTAGTATAACTACTATTATATGTTTGTACAAAATATGTTGGTTGAATATTGTAATAACATAATAGTAAAATCACTAAAGTGCATCTTTAATGTAAATTGATCAACAGTATCATTTCTTAAACAGCGCCACCAATACAAATATCACCGGATAACTACTCCAACAAGAAGAGTTGCCAAAACGGAGGAACAATGACTAAGGGAAGTGGCTCAAGCACAAATTGTCAATGTCCCGAAGGATACATTGGAAAATATTGTCAGAACAGTAAGCAATTTCCAATTATTTCAGATGAAAGATGTATTATGCCATGCTTATAAAGTGAAAGTTTGTGCTGAAGAGAGATGTTTTTCAGAGGGTGGACTGGGGGTGATTAAAAGTCGTAAGACGAAAAGTTGATTATTATTATTATTGTTATTATTGTTATTATTATCATTATTATTGTTATTATTATTATTATTATTATTATTATTATTATTATTATTACTACTACTACTACTACCACTACCACTACCACTACCACTACCACTACCACTACCACTACCACTACTACTACTACTACTACTACTACTACTACTACCATTACTACTACAGGCCTTCCTCCAATTAAAGACCACTTTTTGGACCAGGGTTTCCATGGTCTTAAGCAGCTGTGGTCCCTAATTAGAATAAAAGATAGATAAAAGAAATTTGGAACCACAGAAATGTGGTCTTTAATTGGAGGTGGTATTTAGTTGGAGGGAGACCTGTATACTACTATTATTATTATAATGTTATATTATTATTATTATTATTATTATTATTTATCATCATCTTTTGCTGCGAATTTAGTTTGAACAAAAATGTTTATGAAGTAAATTTTCATAGTATGTACAGTAGCCAATTTTACATCGTATTTTGTATTGTATAGAAGTGAATCCTTGTTCTAGTAACCCCTGTCGGAACGGTGGCAAATGCATGGTCGGAAAAAAGGAAAAAGGAAATGGAAAAGGGAGTGGAAATGATAAACATATATTTAAGTGCACGTGCGCACAAGGATATACAGGAGTCACTTGTGCAGGTGGGTTCAAATGCAGGGATTTATCCCGTTTTGCCACTACTGTACTATTTTTAAAAATACAGAAACGGAAAATACAAAATGGAATACAAAAAATACAAAATGTTACAATATCTCGTAACACAACATAAACTGAACGCCACATTCTTACGCTGGTACCCCTCACTTTGCACTACTCTGAGAAACTGGTTCCCCCTCGTTAAATAAATAACCTGGATCTGCTTCTGAAATGTGCACTGGTACCACCTACAATGGTTGTACATACAGGTCGTCTTCCCTAGTTTGTATGCATGTATTCATGCAACTTTAAATAACGTATCATTGGTAATTATTACTCATGAAAGATTTTTTTTTTTTTTTTAAAGTCAGTATTATATATTTGTTCTTTTCGTGCTTGAATTAAAATCGTGAAGCATTCTTTTATTACGAAGAACACGGCTTATAGAATTATAATAATAATTATAGGCCTGTTGCCTTTTTGTTTTTTTTAAATTAATTATTAGAAAATGCTAAGTAACTGCATAAAGTAACATTATGCTTTAGATATGGCATACAATGGAATATATAAATGGTATAGAGATAAATAAACGATTGGACTAAACCCTTCCGAAATCCAACCAGTTTTCTGTGTCTCAGTGGTATTTTGGCAAGTTATTTTCAATTCAATAGACAGATAATTTTGTTATACAATTGAATTTGAATGGTGTAAATGAATACCGGGTACTGATTGGTTTTATTAGGAAATATTTTAGTACAGGAAATGAAAACAATCCATAATAATAAAAATAATGTTTTATCGAATTATATGGTTGACAATCCTAGCTCAGTCTTTGGCGAGAAAACAAATTTTATATGTTACAACTGATTTTCTAAGACACAAAAAGTTTGACGAAAACTTCGGGAAATTGTGAGAAAAGGGTGGTTACGCCCCTTTACCCCCAGTTAATATTCAAAAATCTATACGGTATCTCATTAACCGTTTACGAGTTTTTCGTCAAACACGCTTTTTGTGTCTTAGAAATATCAGTTGTACATTATAACAATTTTCGTCCTCCTGAACATGCATCTTGACCATTACAATTGCTTGACCTACAGACCCTGAGCCAATTATCGAAAAGAATTTTTGGACGACACCAGCGCAAAGTACTGCGTTAGATTGGAATATAAGAAGTACCGAAAGTGTAATAGGTAAGTAAAATATTCCGTGGTGGTCTGAATATATGCGAGGTAATTTTTAACATTCGTTGGTTCAAACGATGCGACGTTGAGATTATTTGTCATATACTTGCGATCACAAAACTGAATAATGGGGCGAACCCCTGTTTATTAATCAACGTTTTCAGGAAAGTAGGCCTATATCAATAATATTATGTTATCAAGATGCATCTACGCCTAACACCCGCACCAACGAACATAAAGAAGCGTCACAAGTTTGGTCTTCAAAAAAAAACCCAGTAGGCTTTTAATACATCTTTTCAATTTGCACTAAACAACTTCACTCTCAGTATCGCCACATCCACGTCATTCAACATTATCTGTAAGGTACTCAGATGAAATGCTTAATATACGGTGGGTATTGACGCTATAAAATTATTGTATTGGGGCAACATTATTTAGGTTCTATGTAACATACTCATACCCTTACGGTGTACTTTAAGTGGTATTTTAGGTGTACATATAATTGTTCTCTTTTGTGTTAGAAGTAATTGTTTTTGTTTAAGAACAGTGGTAGATTCAAGAGGGCCCAGCCTCCCACTTCCTAAATTTTTCAAAATTATAAATAGAATGGAGAAAAAAAGAAAATTATATCTAGATTGAAGTCTGAGAGTGCCATTTCCGGCCATTTAGAACTGCCATAGGCCTAATCATAAATATACTCATCCCTTATTAACCTCCTATCTGTGAAAGTCCTTTTCTGGACCCTTCTATTTCGATTTCCTGGATCCGCCACTGAAGAGGGTATAGGATAAATCATGGCGTATTGGATATCTCAAGCAATGTTTTTATTAAAGAGCAAAGAGCCTACGTGGTTTTTGCATTGGACAATAAAATAGGTTCATTTGAAAAATTACATAACTTCGAGGTAAAAAAACTGCTTTTAACACTATTAAATATTACCTATTCCTTGCCTAGATGATCCAACTTATCCACCAGATTTTGATCCTACGACTGCTAAGGAGGCTCCTCATAGAAAGCCTAGAAGAAGCACATCCTGGTCAACAACAGTCCTCGCGACGGGTTATACAGATATATCATCGGAATTAATTACAGTGCCCTCTGGAATGAAGTCGTGTAAGTGTTGTAGTTTGTATCGCGCCCTCTCATTGGTACTTCGTGTTGATGAACCCGAAGATCGAAGTCATTATGAAGTCATTATGAAGTTATTATGAAGTTATTATTATTATTATTATTATTATTATTATTATTATTATTATTATTATTATCATCATCTGATATCGTCATCATTGCCATTATCATCAATATCATCATTATCATTATCTTTATCATTATCATTTTCATTATAATAATAATAATCATTATTATTATCATTTATTAATAATATTAATGTCATTTAGGCTATTATTATTATCGTTATTATTATTATTATTATTATTATTATTATTATTATTTTTACCATTATTATTATTATTATTATTATTATTATTATTATTATTATTATTATTCATAATCGTGTTAATGATCTTAGTGTATTGCAGTTGAATGGGTTACGTAGTTCTAAATCAAGTGGCACTAATCCAGCCATCTCGTCATCTCGTTCTGATGTGTAAATAATGCACAATGCAATCCGGACCGTACTTATCAGGACTATGTCCTTGTGACCTGAGGAGGTACGACAAGCCAGCTCAAAACCGACGCTACGTGTCTTAAACTGCCGTGGTGGACCTTTCCTAACATTATTCGACCCTATTCTACCCCTCCTGTTGTATTTCTACACTTTTGGGGTCCTTAGGGTGTCGGTTTTACTCAAACTATAAGTGTAATCTATATAATACGGCTGTTTTGTAACCAATTATTCCGTTTATGTCCGCGTCAGGCAAGAATTTTTTTTCCAAAACATTTGAACAATAAAATTAATGTTTGCGATTTGCAAATTCACGTGAACTACTGTATAGTAATTATGGATAGCCCATGTCTGAACCGGAAAAACGCAGCAGTAGCGAAGATCATCATTATATGATGATATATTTATATTTGAAGTAAAGAAAATAACTTCCTACTCAAGAATAACATTATATTTACATATTTTTCGTATTGAAATAATTGTATTAGTCATAACAGTGGTCAATGAAATTGTGACATAATTTTTCATGAACTGTGAGCGTACATAAAAGGCGAGTTAGCCTTGGTGATCGATTCTATTGTCAAGTTTATTTGCAGTGCATCACTACAGGAAAAGGGCGGTTACAAATTTGTGAGAGCGTTGATGCGTACGATTTGAAATATTAAAAAATCGGATCTGTCGTACGCCCCAATGGTTTTCGCTGTGTTTATTGTCCCTTTGGCTATACAATACAATAGCCAAATATCCGATCCGCTGGATGTCGAAATGTGTTGGCATTGGAAGCACGGTCGCATCGTTGTACGATCACAGACTTGAGTAGGATTTCGACGTGTATTCAAGAGAAAATTGTATTTGCTCACAGATTCGTTGGGAAAACATCACAAGACAGAATGGCCTATAGGATATTAATATGTTGGTTTTTATTAAGCGCATGTCTTGCCACTTCAATAAATGGTAAGTCAATTTTATTTTTACATATTTCTCTACTTTACGTTGTGTACGTCAGATTATAGTACCGTTACTGCTGGTTAGTTACCGTATTCTTTGTAATCTTTCTCTATTATTTATATAGGCCTAAGTATTATCAGGGAGTTGTTATACTTATTGTGCTGGTACAATCATATAAATGATGTCATTATGTCATAATCGTAGATGCTATATAAAAAAAAATATTTTGTATTCTCGGTTCTCTGATAGTAGATTATCAATGCATTTTCCTGCTAACGAATGGATTTTCTGTTTTGATTTAATCTACTGAGGATAATCATACGAATCTCCAATAATAGTTATTAGGGAAATACAAGGCAATAGGCCTATGTGCTTGGCCTCAGCTCAATCGGTATATACCAAACATTACTATTGGTTTCCAATCCCATCGTGTAGGCGGATTACTTTTTCCTTAAGTGTATCTCTAATTGAAGAGACACAGGTATACCTTAAATTAGGTCAGATAAGTATAAGTAACGAAAGTGTAACGAAAGAAACCAAAATATAGAGAAGAATGATAGGCCTATAGTGACACTTCTACACATTGCAATATCTTTTCAAAATAATATATTTTATCCATAATATATTAGGCCTATACGCACACATATACCTACATGCATGTATATAATATCAGTATATATACTCATGCCTTCACTACCGTACTGCATTTGTTATGGAACAACGTGCTACACAATTTCACAATGATACATCTTTATATAGGTCTTATGAAATGAATGAGATGAAATGTGTATGTATATATAGCCCAGACAAATCCCAGTTGGGGCTGTTGTTTCTTTTAAAATTATAATTAATATATGTTATAGCATTTACCACACGACGATTTAGAGCCAATAGTTGCTGTATCTGATATACTGTACAGTAGTACAGACGTATATATAAAATATACAGTACTATATAGGCCTACATTAATATAAAAAAATATAACCTTACTGTATTAACATAAGTTTAGATTGTTATAGTTATAAATTCCCATGATAGGCATACCATGGGAATATATTTTTATATATATATATATCGACGGTTTATGTGTGGGTTGTTGTTTGCTTTGCTTTCTTCGACGTCATTCCCGTCCTCTTTATTTTACGCATGGCATGGTTTTCTCAATAAGTGCCAGACATACTGTGCACCTGACTGTATTAATATACACTGCCGCTGTTGACTAAGACGATCAATCCTATTATACTAATTTTTGTATTCATATGATAATAATGTTATTAATAATAATCTTAAGTAAGAGTAGGACTAGATATGCCCTTGAAGATTTGTAACATTTTTTTTTTATCAAACAGCAATATAAACCTAATAATATAAATAAGAACCACTGTATACACACACACACACACACACACATATATATATATATATATATATATATGTGCGTGTGCGTGTGTATTTTTTTCTTTATCATACACTGTAAAAACAGCGTGGAGGATTTAAATCTAAAGCTCCGCGCAATGTTGTCCCGTCTTTGATGACACGTTTAAAAGCTAAACGTGTTTACATGTGTTTACTGTAGGATCTTGACGTGTTTAGAATTAAATGCACCTAGGTACTTGACATCATGATGTCAAATGCCTTAGCACATCTAATGCTAAACACGTCAGGAACCTAAACAAATTAGGCCGGGTCTAAACACGTTTAGCTTTTAAACTTGTCACAAAAGACGGGGACAACCATTGCGTGGAGCTTTGGCTTTAAATCCTCTACGCTGTTTTTGCAGTGTAGTTTATTGTTCATAAGATTAATGAATTGTGGTTTCTCTGGCGAATATATTATACATTTGACATGGGTAAGAAGCCTCGAAAACGAAAAGTAAAGGGTACGTTTCTCTCCCACAGAAACCTTATGTTAATTTTGAGTTTAAGTGGATTGGCCGTCTGATTGGACGTTTGGAGACCTATTACGTGACAATTGAAGTAATGTAATTGCGATCAATAATTTTTTTTTTTTTTACGATCGATATTCCTCCCACAAGTCTCATTCCTGTCCTTAGCACCAACGCTGCTGTGCATACTGTACCTTACAAATGCTAGGCCCATATAGGGCATGCGCAGTAGCTAGAGAAGTCCGAGAGACATCAATCAATATTCTACAATATCTGCTACCATCTGTCAAAATCTAACGGAATTGATGAATTAAATGAAGGAGCAAGTAATGCATTTGAGGAAAAATAAACAGATTATATAGTATATTGTGCCTGTATTAAATTAGCCTTAAACACTAAACAGTCGAGAACACTCCAATACTAGAAGCCTAACAACAATCGTGACCGAAAAAAAAAAACATTACAAAAGAACCATCCGTTCTCAAGCTACATGCTCATTATTTGCGAAAGGCGTTTCCGATAGTCTACACATAGGCCTACTGTATTATGCTGTTTGCAATATTATACAGTTTAATGGTTTATTAATTATTGCATCAATGATATTCAGCTCAGTGGATTTTTCTTTTTTTAAGTAGCTTGTATTTATTACTTCTATTTTTATTGCTACTCATTTTCAGGTTCAAATAGTCCTACTTATTTCTTTAGTTATTTTCATCCATTATGGAGCATTTTTTATGATTTTGCTTCACTATCTTCAATTTTTGCAACACAGGTTTTGCATGCGGATGTGTGGTATTATTTGTGCATTATCATCAATGGCCGAAACAGTTAAACGTCCTTGGTTACCTGCATATTATTTTAGAATTTTGATCCCCTTAACATTCTGAACCATTGAGTCAAAGAGTACAGTAAGACCATGGTAAGACTGAAATCAAACGTTTAAATCAATCCCACGTAACTTGGAAGTATAATCTTTTGAATTTAAGCAAAAACATGATATAAAGTGATAGAATTTGAAGTGATTTAATGTAAATCGGAAGAACTACACTGGCTTAAGATTCTCAACTCTACTTCTGACCTACATTATGCCAATTATATTTGGCGAAATGTTATGTCAGCCAAATTGCGAACTTGTCAAACATCTCTACAATTAGGGTAAATGTAAAGATTTTAAGTATATTTTATTTTTTAAATGAATTGTCCACCTCAGGATTTAGACAAATCACGAGATAGCACTTCCCATTTAAACAATCAAGGTCATCATACATAGTAAATCGTTTTTGTCGATGGCACTTATTAAGGAAAACAATAATGATAATGATAATAATAATAATAATAATAAATTTCTACGGTAGATATAATGATCTCAATCATCCAGTTGTCTTTAATAGTCCTGCAACTGTGACCATATCATTTGATAGAAAGTAGAGTAGTCTGTAAATTATAATATCACTAGATCGTAATTTGTGGACAGGAAGTGCAGGCATCCGTTCACCATACACATATTTGAATTAAGCTAAGAAGTCCCCATATTAACCATAACTATAAACGAGTTTATGTTTGAGTAACTAGATACAGTTGTAGAGGCACGTCACATGACCATAATAGCTTATACTCTTTTAATGTGTTTAGAAACTGAAGTTTTCTATTGTAATATTCTTGTGGGTAATGTATACAGAATACAGAAACATTATTTATCCCAAAAAAGGGGAAATTGTTTTGTTGACAAGCTCGATAAAGACACATACCTTAAAAATGCCCCTGTACATATGTAATAATACAACAAAATTGAATTTAATTTGAATTAATTTAATTTAATTGTAATTACAATAGGAAAAAAAACAGGATAATACTATTAAAAAAAAAGCCCATTAAATGTTTCGACTCAATTTTTTTCTATTAGGCCTCGTGTCCACTACAGTAGTTTGTTATGCGTCTCAAGAAGTATGTCATGGTATGCCTTGCATTTTTATCATAACAAATTTTTCATTAATACAAGTGTAAATTCATAAAACTAGATGTCGATGTTTACGTGTCTGTTGAGCCCTTGGCACCTGTTCCCATTTTAAGAACCCGTAAACGTGACTTAAAAGCCTGATAAAGACTCTGCGAGTTGCCGATAGCTTTAGGTCGATTGTCTATTCAGAATTCAACTAAGAATAAAATTAAAAAATGTGAATAATAATATAACCAGGCTACAGGCGAAAATTAAATTCAACACTTCTCAGATTAGCTTAGACAAAGTAACCGTTGTCAAGAGTGTCAGCTACGGGCAATATCGAATTTTGAGTCGAGAACATGGTTGTACTGTTGGAGCGAACAGTGATCGTGTTTTCATCTGCGCAAGTAGAACACTTACGAACTAGGCCTCTACTTGTTAACGTTGAACGGCACTGCTTTCGTCGCCAACGGCGACTCAGGGATGATTACCCGCTGCCCGAGAGATTTGACAATCATTATAGCTTGCCTAAAACGAAATGTTATTCGACTCACTCTGAATTTAAATCTAAGAATTCCATGTTTCAACATTTCAATGAAATGTTGTGCCTTTTTCACAGAACCTGCCCGTCATCATCAGTGTCAAAAATAATATATTGAATGTCAAAACGTGACGCGTGGGCCTTGTACCTAGAGGCAACGTGCATGTAAAGTACTGCAGTGCATGGTGCTGGTTAAATAACTAGAAAATTTAACCTGGTATAAGAGACATTCCCTAATATTTTGCAAAAACGTGTACTCTCTAAAAGTAAAAGATTGAAAAAAGAGTGAAAGAGTGCCTACAGGGACCACTCCTCAATTAGTGAAATAGAAAGAGTGATGTGTTACTCTATTTAGAGTGAATTTTAGTAATTTTTCGCTATTTTAAGAATAATATTCACTCATTTAAGAGCGAGTTTTCACTCGAAAAAGAGTGAAATTTGAGTGGTCCTTGTAGGCACTCTTTTCGAGTGAAAATTCACTCTTTTACATTAAGAGAGTTGGCCGACATAATGTGTTAAACTGCACAACATGGTACTATAGCACACGGACCAATGGCTTACGTCACCCTTTCCTCAAAAGATTTTTCAAAATTTTTAATCGTAACTTTGCTTCTACTTGACTGATTTTTTTTTTTTTTTTT